GCAATATTAAAAATAAAGGGGAATCAATGAAATCTCAAATTGAAGACATTTGGAATACTAAAGTAAAAGGAAATCAATAAAGTGGACATGGACTTCTCAATATTTTAATGGACATCTGAATCCAAAGACCTTCAAAAGCATCCAATACTTTTGAATACGGGTTTTGTAAAGAAAGTGTGCACTGACTGTTGGAAACTTTTGGAAAGCTTAAAGACTCAAGAGCTTAGGTAAGTAAAGCAAATCAAAAGGAACAGAAAGGGAATGAATACAAGTTTACCTAAAGCAACATATTTTTTGAAGCCTGAAATCTCTAGACATTATTCTAGGCCCCCCCTAAATAATGTCAGAAAGCTGCTTGCTGGACTACCCCCTTTGCTTGAATGATTTTTTGTTGTTTCAATAGTTTTGAATAAGGGATTTTGTACAGAAACAGTGCACTGTCTTTTGGAAAGTTTTGGAAAGCTTAAAGACTAAAGAGCTTAGGTAAGTAAAGCCTCCAAAAGCATCAAATCGCAATGGAAATCTCTAAATTTTGAATAGAAATCTAATCCAAAAGCCTCCAAAAGCATCACATCTCAATGGAAATCTTCAAGTGTTTAATAGAATTCTCCATCCAAAGGCCTGTAAGATAAGCAAATCCCAGCAAACTCAAAAGGGAAAAAGTAAACTATAACAATTAAACATATTCCACTACAACTATCCCTGCCAAAAAAAAAAGACATTATTCTGGGGGCCTTTATTAATCAGCGCAGGAGAAAAAAATACATTATTCTAGGGGGGTTTATTAATCAAAGGACCACATTAATATGGGCGCGCTGCCAAGGAAGTGGTTTTTGCAAAGGAAGGACATGGGACTCTTCCCCGAAGTCAGTTTCGAAGCATGTGGAAATGAGTAAGGAAAAGAGCTTTGCAAAACTGGGCCAGATGTACGCTGGTGTGCGCCCAAGATTAAAGACTTGTCGCAGCTTGCTTGTTTGCTTGCAGTGAAGTTTTGAACCTTTGCGTCACTCGTTTTTCGTTTGCAGGCGTTGTGGATAGATATAAGGTCATATGTATATATATATAGAAGCTGCTTCTGAAATGTCATAATTGTGTATAAGAACTACATTAATTCTGAAATATTCGCAATGTGTATTCTTCTGCTACAGTTTGTGATTCTGCGTTTGACTGCCACAAATTGTCTCAGGATCAGCTCCACGGGTTTGCCTTGCACCTGGGCTTGTTTTGTGTGACTGAAGAATATGTCTCTTGGCTGGAATGACTCGAGGGTTCTCGCTTTTGCTGAATTCATGTCCAGATCCTGTTGCTTTGATGTTTCTCAGAGGTCCGACTAGGGTATCTTGGTGGTCAGCCTGCAAGTGCGGGACAGCCAGTGATCCCTTGCTGCAAAGAAAACGTGTTGCGCTCCGGTTTGGTCAAAAGAGACAATGATTCTAAAGGCGGCCCTGAAGTTTTTCCTCTGTCAATTTCTAAACCAGTACACAAAATCTGGATGTTCACAAGGAACATTCTGGAGCAACTCCCTCTTCAAGGCCTTGGAGGTGAATCTTTGTCGTTGATGTGAAGGACAGGAAACACGTTGCGCGCAATGCCTTCATCAGGAACGGCTAGACTATAATAGACTATGCACTGGGAGACAGTCAAATGTTGTTTTTCTTGAAAAGGCTCGCAGCCCTGGCCCTTCCTTCTCCCTAGAATCCTACGCTGGATCTGCGAAGGTGTGAGTGGTCAGTGTTCACACCAAGTTAATCACGTCACCAATTTCCAGCGGGCGTGAAATTTGACCACGCCACAACACGCAACAGTTTTGTGAGTTCAATCAGCTAACCTGATCTAACAAGCATGAACTGTTGTTTGTTTGAAGCGTGAAATCACAAAATTGTAGCGCCAGTGCATTCTGCAATTCAAAAGCGAGTGATAATCGCCACTGGCCACGCAAAAGGAACTTCATAGATGTTTTAATCGACTATAATAAGAACAGACTTTCTTCCTCCAAAAAAAAGATGTATGTGTTTTTTCCCGAGAGCGTTTGAGCGAAGGGTTCTTTTAAGAGCAAGAACATGAGCATTACATATCATCATCATCATCATCATCATCATCATGATGAGTATCGGACATCATCATCAGCATATCTTGACATTAGCATATATATATATGGGGAAACGCCCACGGACTTAAAGACGAAACGATTCGTGAACACTTTTTCTCATAGGTTTGGGCTCACAGCGCAGTCGATGCGTCCGTGTCGACTTTGTGGTGTCCACACCCCTCAAGTGGACGCTACTTGTGTCTTCTGCCGTTGCCGCAATAGGTTTTGGCACTCCTTGGACCGCTTGCCAGTCAGTGCCAGAGGCTGGGCTCTGACCAACCTCCGAGTGTGGACGGGGGTCATTGAGGAGGAGTGTGAGAAGATCGAGGAGGCTGAAGCGGCACGGAAAGCGGCAGAGAAGACTAGAGCTCCAAAGTCAGCACCGCCATCCAAGAGTGAACGCACTCCTAGAGAGGGGAGTAAGAACTCGCATCCAGACAGGCCGGATAAGAGTTGGGGTAGCCCGAAAGGAGAGGAGGAAGGGGAGAAACCGTCTCCTAGAGGACTAGCTGAAGTGGAAGAAGTCGAGGAGGGGAAGACATCGAGCGGATCCAAGCCGATCAAGCAAAGAGAAAGGATCAAAGAGGAGAAGTAGCAGCCGAGGCAGAAGGACAGATCAAAGAGCCGATCCAGGCGTCGTCGACGTCGAACCAAGAGTCAAGCCCTAAGAACACTCCCAACAAAAGGAGAGGGGAGGAAGAAGGCAAAGGAAAGGAGAAGAAAGCTAAGCCGACAGTCAAACCACCTGCTACTCCGTCCAGGTCGCCACCAAGGAAGCGGACCACCTGCTCCAGTTGCTCGACCAGATAGTGGACAGTGGAAGGGACCGATCAAGGCGTGGCAAAGGCAACCTCAATACTGGGGTCAAAACAAAGGTCGAGGCAAGAAGGAACGGCAGTACTACTTTGGGCGAAAGCCTGAAGTATCCAGCCGCCTATCTCAATGGCACCGAAGAGACGGCCAGCTGCAGCAACTCCACGTGGACCTCCTCGTGCTGAAAAATCCTCCTGCAGGCAGGGGAGGAGGCGTGTTGAGGCGACCGGCACGAGAAGCCGGCGGAGGCCCAAGGCCATCAGCAGAAGAAGGACGAAACTTGGAGGCAGGCATCAGGCAAGAACTTCGAAGAGGGCATCCTAGTACCATGCCGCGAGGTTCCCTTGGAGTCGCTCCGGAAGCGGTTGGCGGTCCATGCAACAGTCCGCTACTGGGGCAAATATGTCATTGCGAAAGCCAGCCGATGGCCTAGGCGGGTCGGGTGAGGCCTCCACAGCAATCTTTCCTTCATTTTAAGCAATCGCATCATCCGCACTTGGCGGCGCGCCGGGTGTCTGCCTCCATCTACGAATAACAAACAGCAGGCCAGCCCCCGCTGCCCTACCTAAGTCTTCTGCTTTCTATTTCTACCGTCCGTCGGCGTTGCTGCAGTGTCGACTTCACCCCATAACAAAGCTACTCTTTACCTGATGTTAGACAGTCGCTTGATCTTGGCTTCAACATCGACCCACTCTTGGCAGCGCGCCCAGTACACGCGGCCATCTACAAGACAAGAATAGCGCCCGCAATTCCTTCCAGGTTCCCTTTTTCGTCTTGAAAAAGTCCCGAGCCAAAGGAAAAAGGCCACCCCCCCACCTATGCTTTCTGCTTTCTAATTCCAACAGCGCGCGTCACTGCAATATCCACTTCCCCCCATATCAACGGCGATCTTTCTTTCCCCCAGGTTGGACCATCGCATGATCATCAATCCACTCTTAGCAGCGCGCCAAGTCCATGAGTCTATCTACAAGACACGAGAAACAAACCGCCGGCAAGCGCCCCTCGATTACTTAGTGGTCCCTTTTCTCTCTTCAAAACGCCCCTTCAACCGAAAGAAAAAGCAGCCCACCCCCCCCACCTGTGACTGAGAGACTTCCCACCTCTGCGTTCTATTTTCCCATGCCTGACAGCGCTTCCAGTGCGCTCTTGCATTCACACCCCATGACCATATTGATGTTTCAAGTGTTACAGTGTTAATCTAGGTAGATAGATATATATATATATATACATTCAAGGCCATACCGTTGCCGCAAAGCAGGGCAACAAACACGAACAAAAAACCTAGCGATGTTCAACCTATGCGCTGCTTGAATCAGCATGTGGAAAGATGCACCCTTGTCGGTTGATGTTCAATATCAAGACTTGCGTTTCAGCTGCTGATGTTCAATGTCAGAATTGGCCATCCAGCAGGTGTTCGATGCAACTCCTTTGCCATAACGCGGGGCATTAACACATATGTAGGGAGGCACCTCCGTTCAACCAGTGTTCAACCTTTGCCGCTGGTCTCATGAACATGTGTAAAGATATGAACTTGCAAATTGTATATTGATGTGCATCAAAATTGTGCAAGGTTTTTCAATGCAAAACCCTTGCTGTAACCCACTTGTGCAGACAAACCTTGTGTTTTCGATGTTTGCAAACCTTTCCACTTTACATGCGTTGCCAGGAGCCGATAGTGGTTCATGTGCAAGCCGACCTGCGTACTGCCGCATAAGTTGTTGCAGTATCATCACGTAGCAAGTTCCACCGCCGCTCACACAATTCTGGGCTATTTTTCAAGAGCTTTGCTCAGAGTTGATTCGGCGATGTTCCAACGTTTCAAGTTTGCTGACAAGAGGGCCGCGAACAAAAAAGAACAGGCCAAGATCTAGTTCGCAGTTTGTTACTTGTGAACGGAGGAGTGTATCATGGATCTTTTTGGCAGTGTGTTGTAATGTCGCCACAGGATCAAAGTTATTGACTCATACGCATTACTGCTAGTCTAGCTTCCACAGCTCTTTCACGACTTGCAGTATGTTCATCCTGTGAACATTTCTATGTTTCGACAGTGGCAAAGCCCATGCAGCCAAGCAGAGAGGTGTAGATGCTATAGCATGTGATGCAAAAGGAAGGACAGCGGGATCACGGTCTCCTGGAGGAAGCTGCTGCAAGTGTTCCAAGCACGTTGCCTATACCCGGCACACATCCAGGTGGAGCTCAAAGCCCTGTACCTCGCCTTGCCTCTGGCACGCACAGAGCGCAAAGGACGGCATCTTGCACAGATCCTCAAGAGCAACAATGTGCAGAAGAGGAGTGTGATGCTGATGAATGTGGCGATGAACGCAAACCTCCGGCTGACAGTGTCGACTGTTTCGGCAATGACAAGCGCCCGTATCTTCCTCTCATGCTCTTGGGGTCCACTTTGATTGGTGCTCTTCATATGCTTCTGATTGAGTTTCCGATCATCAGGGAGTTGGCTTGGGGCTACGAGTTGCGTGCTTTCTTCATGTGCCTCTATGCGCTTACCCTATATTGTTTAGTTTATTGTGTACTTTGCGACCCAGGCAAACTCGCCGTGAAAGAAATGGAGGCCTTTACGCATGCTCATTCTGTTGGGGAACTTCCCAGGAGGTGCCACAAGATGTGGCTTTTCAAGCAGCCAATTCGAAGGTATGACCACTACTGCCGTTGGTTAACAAATGCAGTGGGACTGCTGAACCACCGCGAGTTTGTCACCATGCTGGCTGGCTTGCTGATGATTGGTCTGTGCGGGTGCATCATAGACTTTATTCTGATCATATGGACTTCAAGTGAGGGTCGACATTTTACGGGGTTCTTGCTCATCATGCATCTTACGTGCCCCACATTCAATGAATTGAATGACTTGTGCATGTTTTTCTGTTTGTGTGGCTTACTAGTATTAAAAGCCTGCGTTTAGGCATCAGTGCAAAGGTATTCTGTGATACTGTCACTCCTGACCGGGCCCATCCTTCGTTTGCACATTACGTTCGTGACCAGGCGCAGAGAGAGCTTTTGGAAGGCTTTCAACTATTCAATTCAGCCAACTTTACTTGTTGAGCTTGCGTCAATTTGGCATGATGCAGGAATGAGCTTGCTAACGAGTACAAGCACAATCTCTTCCATGTGTTGAGGGACGTGCAGCGTGGCTGAATAGCTCAAAGGCTTTTCATTGCTTGAATGAGTGCTTGCAATGGGCTCGCTGAGTAGGGGGCCCCCTGCGCCCGGCAGGCACAATCTACCTCGTTTGCCTTCTACCTGCAATCATCGCATTCTGCATACACAATGATCTCAAGACTACGCCCAAAATCCAAGAGCAATAAAGGATGATTAGCCATGCCAACAATCCAAGGACCAAACACAATGATTTTGAAGCTATGCCCCCCCCAAAGTTTGGGTCACTATCTTGCTCCTACAACGGTTGGGACTAGTTTGGAAAACATTGTGCGTTTTTGTTTGTTCCTCAGATACCGAGAGCTTTAGGGTGTTCTTACTTCAAGATAGGGAGAGGTCGCTGCAGGGTACCGCCTGAAAGTGCTGCTGCGACTTGTTCCCAAAAGCATCTCCGATGCTTGGGTTCTCGTTTAGTCTGCTACCCCGGAAAAAAGCGAGCGTTGGATGCGTGCTCCGGTGCTGCTGTGGAGCTGTTCTGCAGCTGTATGTGCTCCAGCGGGGGGGTGCGAGGATTGGATGCGGACGCTGCGGACGACCGCGCGGTGCGCCTCACCGACGCACACCGTCTGCAAATACTCCAAGTCCTCGTTGAAGTAGGCGCGCACCACGATGGGCAGTATCTTCTCCGAAAACTCGGGCAGGAAGTCTTCCACTAGAGCGGCAGCTTCGAAACCCAACTTAAAAAAGCTTGAGTTCGAAACCTCCTCCCCAAAAATCTTGAGGGGCCAGAGGCAGACGTAGTAGGAGCTCTAGAGAGGCAGAGCAGGTAGGAGCTCTAGACCAGGGGCAAAGCGAAGCCAAAAGGCCGAGGTACAGCCACAGTTTTCCCCTATCTATTCCTCACGCAAAAGGGCGCCGACAGGGTGCCTAACGGCAGCTTCGAAACCAAAAAAAAGGTTTGAGGGGCCAGAGGCGGAGCAGGTAGGAGCTCTAGACAGGCAGAGCAGGTAGGAGCCCTAGACCAGGCAAAGGGAAGCCCACGGCTTCCTCCATCTAGCTCAGCGCCCTAAAGGGCGCTAACAGCAGCTTCGTCGTCATCCCGGCAAGAGACCCCAAACAGTGTGTGTATGGTCTAGAGGTGTAGCAGCAGAAAGTCTAGAGATCTAGACGCATTGGGGTCCAGACAGGTGATGGTGAGTGTGAATGAGATTCAGAGTGAGAGAGTGTGAGTGAGAGTGTGAGTGGGTTAGCGATCGAACAAAGCGGTCAACCGGCTGGCCTTCAAATATGATTGACCACAGACAAGAGATGTTTAGGGGGCACGGTCTGGACCTTGCTTCCTGGTCGCTTTGGCGCCATATTTCAGAAGCAGATATGCGTACACACATATCATATCTGTATATATAATATATGTCAACAGCAGTGGGACGACAGCATACCATATGCATGTACAGTATACTTTAGCGTGTCACGCCTACATTTGGCTCAAGACTCCCGTAGAGCAAGCGAAAAACAAGTGCGCGCCATCGCTGTCTACGAGGGAGAGGATAGTCTACCTACACTTCACGTTGGGCAGATTAATATCCACACGCAGGTTATCAGCCGTAGCCGCTCTGAGGTTACGAGCTTTGAGAGACCAATACTGCAATCAAGACTCAACCTGCAATGTCGAGTTCTGGAGGAAAGAGCAGTGGACATTTCTCGTTCGCCGCTCCAGGGAATGCATCGCAGTCGTCGCCTGGCTCAATTACTGGTGCCAGTCCTGCTGATGCCGCCACAATTATTACCATGCCATTTACATCACAAATATCAGGTGAAGGTAGAGTCGCTCCACTGGAGGCGACGTCTACCGGATCCGATGTTAGAATGGGCAACGCAAAAAGAGTCATGAAGAGATTTACGAGATCTACATCACCGAGAACGACGTCAAGAAGATCACCAAAGGGAGATATTGAGAGAGTTGAGACTGAGGATGCCAAAGAGCTGGAAGAAAGAGAAGTTCGACTTATGGAAGAACTTCGATCGGCTAGAGTATCGTACCAGTACTTGAATGATGAATACAGTTGTCTGCGTGAAGGACACACGAGACTCTACGCTGAATCACAGGAGGAATTTTCGCAATTGACAAGATGCAATATGGCTATGAGCACTCACCTATACAAGAGGATGAAGGAGCAACCATACGGATTGAAGAACTTGAGAGGAAGCTCCGACTTGAATCATTAGCAGGTCACATCTACACAAAGTACGAGGAAATTGCTTATGAGAATCATGAGGAACATACCCAATTTGATGAGGCAAGATCCAAGATGGAGGACATGACCAGCAAGATGCAAGGTGCATTTCAATACGTCCAAGAACAAAATCGAACTTCTGACACCTACAACAGGCGAGCTCAGAACCTCAGTGAAGAGAATCAAGTGATTATGAATGTCGCCAACGAGCTCCAGATGAGGATGCTGATGCTACAAGACGAGAACAGCAACATGTTGGAGGTAGCTCAGAAAGAAGAGAGAAACGCGGTTGGCCGATGAGATTGCTGAGGCCACTGGTCATCAGCACCAGGAGAAAAGAATGGTCGAACATCTTCGTGGTCAGTTGGCAATCATCAAGGGATCAGAGATGAACATGATCGGAGAGATGGGTCACTATGACTTGGAATACAAAACGGAGATACAGGGATACAAGCTGGAAATCAGCGAGAGGGAGACGCGGGCAAAACAACTTCAGTACGAGGCAAGAGTGATGGCTGAAGCAACGAAGACAATGGAAGATGCTGCGTCCGGACTACAGAGGCAGTCGAAAGAAGAACAACGACAGTTGAAAGAGGCCAATTTCGCCCTTGCCGAGGCCAACAAGATATTTTGAGAGCATCTGCGACAGATGTTAGAGAAAGAAGGGCTCTTGAAGAGAAGTTCAGGGAACTTGAGGAGAACCAACACATTGCTGAAAAGAAACTGTTGTAAGCAAGGACCGAGAACGCGAGAATGAAGGCTGAGATGCGCCATGGCACCATGAAGGACGAAAGTCGGGGTGGACGGGGGTTACCAACTACTCGGTTCAACGAAGAGAGTCAATCACGTTTGAAGAGGACCTATAAAGCGTCAAGAGAGTGAAACAGATAATAGGTTGAGGAAAGAACGTGATGAAGTATATGACAGGTAAATGTACCACCATGGCCCAAGGTCAACGATCTAGGACTATATGGAAAGCCAACTTGATTCAGGCAATCGTCATCGCAGTGAACGACTCAGATCGACAGCCATGGATCGACTGGGTTAAAGAAGCTATTGATGACCCTGATCCTGACAAGTTGATGGACTCCGGCGATCCAAGGTTCCACTCTATCGATGCAAAGTTAGGCTCAGTAAGACCGGGTTTGCGTGCACGGGAAATTGGGAATGTCATCGGTCTTTGTCTGAGACATTTGGCGGTCGATTTTCTTGTGATCGACAGAAGGGGAGACCATGTCGGCAACTCTTGAGAACCCAGATGCGCAGGATCAAGAAGGTTGATCAACATACACGCTCGGCGCCAAGCAAGTGGCGTCCGGAAAGCCTTTGTATGGATATCAGCACACATCTTGTGGGAAATCTCGTAGAGCAGGACAAAATGGTCTTGTTGAAAGTGTTCATCGTCGTTATCTCAGCCGACGTGCGCAGGAGCGCCTGGGGTACTTGTCAATGGTCTGTGGAATCGAGTCGAAACGGAAGCACCACCCTTACAACAGGCCAACGCTTCGACCAGTGGGTCGAACGAGCATGCTTCTTATATCATGTCTCGCAGGCCTCTTCCACCTCGGAAGCTGGTGTTTGCTGCTCCTCTTCGCCTCTTCCCGCCTTGGCCAATGTCCTTTGGACTCCTGATGCCGTCCTTCAATTCTCACTTGAGCCTCTCTCATGTGACCCTGCTTTCGCGTATGATCGATTGCAACCATTCAATTGCCAACCTGCAACCCTTCGTGTGATCAACACGCTGCTACATGGGGGAGTAGGGGGCAGGATGGTGCATTAATTCGCGCTTGCGGTGCCGTGATTGACCATTTTGACGCTCAGAAGTCGAGACCAAAAACCACAAAAACAAACAAAAAGTGTCCAGAGGAATGGCGTTTGAACAGGCATACACTGACACGAGTGCACAACGTCCCAAGAACAAAGAAATTTGTTCCATCAGAGTGTGATGATTTGTCCCATCGACCTTTCGGAGTTGGCTGATGATCGGATCACAGCGCACTTTTACAAGAGTGGCAAAGTAAATGCGCACGACTCGTGGCGACCAAGATGAACTATGGGTCGGGAGCACTGTGTTTCGTGTCCTCACTGATGACACAGGGACAGTACCTGATAAGAAAGCCACAAGGAAGAACAACAAAGAAGGTATAACCATATGTATGCAAGCATGGGGGTTGAGCGTTATTCCACAGAGCAACATGTTTGCGCCTCAGTCGATTCAGTATTTGTCAAGCGAAACACCAGTTGGACGCAAGCCAGTGTTGCATTTGATTTTACAAAGGCAATCAGGCAGGTCACATACGTACCAGTTCGAGTTGCACCTTCAAGAAATCAAGACGATGGTGACGAAGAACCGAACACACGACCACTGCGTGATACTACACGAGATGGAGAGGAACGCGCCGTGCCTTGTTCTCATGTGCGCTGAAGAACAAAACTGGTTCACTTTTCTGCAGACTGCGACAGAGAAGCAGTATATGAATGTGGTCACAATCACGGAAGATGACGATGCCACTTCATCGTATGGGAAAAAACAAGGTCAAGGCATGCCTCAGATCCGACTTGGATTGCGCCTTCTTCGCGCGTCCTTGTACAGGAGGTTCAGCGTGGAATCGCTTGAATCGAACGATCAGCAACAAGGCAGCAGCGCAGGTGAAGCAACACCAACGCTTGTATTGGAAATTGTGGGAACATTTCGCGGACGCTCTTGAGCGCGTGTTTCCATCGATGCTTGCGCCCTAACCGAACTGCCGAGAAGCTGCGAGTACTGGAACGACAAACGCATGACACAACTA